AGAAAAATAATAAAATAATTTATAGAAAAGTTAGTTGAAATAAAAGATAGAGAAAAATAATAAATATATTTTGAAAGTAGTAAAATTAAGTGTTAAATATAGAGAACTACGTGTATTTCAAATTTTAATGATCTAAATTTATAAATAATTTTCAAATGATAGAATATACTCTTAAAAAATAGAGAGTCGTGCTCTAAGTTCCTCTTATTATGAACCTTCTCTACAATTTTGCCAAAAAATTATGGAAAATTAAAGAGAGCCCACGCCGCCGTCTATATCTCCGCCTCGCAACTCATAACAGCCACCATATCCACACCCAGAACCACCATTTTTACTACTATTACACATTCACGAATCTGATGCAAATGCACTGGAACACCATGGCTGCCTCAAGCAGAAGACATAAAAATCATGCCCCTCTTACCCACCCACTCGAGAGGAAATACCCGCAAATAACCTAAATAGAAGAGTGAATTGTGATATTAGACCTGAAAAGATAGTTGTTTGAAGAATAACCTTTAGATAATAATCTTTCCAAAAATACCCCTGATAGAGAATTTGCAATCAAAGCCATTACAATGTATAAAAATTAGGTCCCTAAAGAAATATAGATCATGAATCTTTAATAAATTTAAGCCCAAATATTATACAAAATTTTACTAATCTAAGAAATGCAACATATAATGAATTAAATTATTTAAAAGAAGATCTGAAGATTTTCTTTACAGAATATTTAGATTCAAAATTAAAATATAAAAATGTTTATATAGATAATAGAGCAATCAAAATAGAAAATGATATACATAAACTAATTCTTAAACTGGAAAGAAGAATTAACAAACTAAATATAATTATTGAAGAAAAAGTTTTGACAAAAGATAATGAATTTTATAAATTCTATTATAGTATTTTAAATACTTATGAAGATCTTAATTGTCTTCAAAATCTTAACCTCTCCGCTGCAGAAATGGTATTAGAGCCATGTTACGAACCGAAAATTATGATGAATATAGTAAATAAAGAAAATATAATTGAAGAATTTTTGAAAGAGGTTGAAAAACATAAAAAATCAAGTTATCCTTACTTACCTAAAAATACCACAAATGAAAGTTTTGAGGATATACACAAAAGACTAGAAAATTTAGAACATAATTTACAAGTAGGAAATGTTCTTTTAGATAAAAATCTTAAAGGAAAAGATAGGATTATAATTAATCCAC